TTTCTAGAGCTTTAACCTTATGAAGTCCCTAATAAAACTTAGTGCTGTGGTGTCTGTGCCTCATTTCCCCAGGAGTAGCCACTGCTGTGAGAAGCTCATCCTTTTCCTTTTTTTTTTTTTTTGGTCTGATGTCCGTTCCCATCCCCCAGCCCCTCTGAGATTAGAAAGGCAGGAGGTGGGGGTTAGCACAAAAAATGGTAATTTGTTAATTTTGCTGGGACCATGAAGGTATTCTAGTTGGCAGCAGGTGGTAACGGTAGCTCCTTTTCCCGTTTACAGGGTTGAATAAGAAGGAAGATACGTTCCTGACTTCCCAAGTTGGAACAAAAAGTATTTCCCATAAAAAAAATTTTTTATAGTGGCTAGTTTTTTTAAAAAACTGTATTTTAACACGTTTTAAGTATATTCCAGGATATATAGTTGTTTTTGGACTCACCTGGGGCTGTGACTGTAATGTTATTTCTGTTGTAAGAGTGTGTATTCCTTGTTCCAAAGCAACTTCTGAATCCTGCATTTATGAATTAAGAGGACTGTCCAGTGAGTTACTCTGAACCTGTGCATGGCTTTTGCTCCTGTTTTTGAGGGTCTATCTCAGTGCATCCGTTAAGTGAACCAACTCATTTTCTTTTTGTCCCTTTGGCGACATTTTCCTAAACAGTCATGCTGCCTGAAAACCTGTCCCATAAAAAAAGCACACATTCAATATGACCTATGAAAGCAAGTCCATCCAAGTTAGTTTTTGTCCAGGCACTGAAAGGGACTTTTATGAGATCAGGGGGTGGGTACGGACACTAAAATGCCTCTACTTCAGTGTCTCCACTGGCTTTTTATCTGTCTTCATTCTCTGTCCTCTGTCACATTTGATAATATATTTAATATATTTAACAAACAAACATCTATGTATCTATATATCAGATACTAATAGGTCCTGGGGATATAAAATTGGAAAGGACAAAATACTTGCCTTCAAGTACTTACCTAGAAGCTGAGACTGGCAGTTACAAAACAAAGTGAAAGAATTAAGAGATGTGTGAGCTGAGAGCGAAGAGTATACCTTTAATTTTTTTTTAGGTTTTTTTCTTTTTTTTTGTCACAGAGAGAGGGAGGAGAAAGAGGCTCCCTGCCAAGCAAGGAGCCCGATGCAGGACTCGATCCTAGCCCTCTGGGGTCATGACCTGAGCCGAAGGCAGAACTTAACCAACTAAGCCACCCAGGCACCCCTACTTTTAATTTTTTTTAATATTTATTTCGGGGGGGGGCAGAGGGAGAAGGAGAGAGAGAATCTTAAGGAAGTTCCACGCCCAGCGTGGAGCTGGACATGGGGTTTTATCTCACAACCCTGAGATGATGACCTGAGGCTTAACTGACTGAGGCACCCAGGCACCCCTGTACTTTTTATTTTTTTAATTCTGTCCTGCTTAAAACTGTGACCTTATGCTTTGGGTTCAAATTTCTTTCAGAACACTCCCATCAGTGACATTTCTGCCTCATTCCCTAATTTGAGATACAGTCTAAGGTTCAGTTTTCCACCCTGTTTACTTGCCCTCAGGTCTCATCCACTGTTGTGGTGCTAAGATGCTCAAGAAGTGCTTATTGAGTACTTAGTACACAGAGTGGGCAGGCACAGCAATGCCCTAAATTGTCTTCTGTCCTGACTTCAAAACCCTCTAGTCCACATGAAAAGGAAATCTAGACTTGTGTCATAATGATTCGGTGCTCCGTCATAAAATAACTGAATCAATTCACTGTCTTTGAAGGTGCAACTGGCAAAACCACGGTGGAACTTAGGCATTAAACCAAAGTTTTGAATCTCAGATAACAGGTCTAAGATCTTCAGCTGCTGACAGAACATTGTTTGGAAATGCCATAATTCCCTCAGTCAACATAATAAAATCCATCTGATTTTTTCACCTCCCCCTTCAACTGTTTACCTTCATCAGTCACAAGAGCCTGTCCAGTTTTCCTTTACAGTCACTGCCACTATATTAACCCAGGCTTTCATCACCTGAGACCTGGACTATTCTTAGTCTCCTAATTTGAGTCCCTGCCTCCAGCTCCAAGGGAATCCATATTATCTCAAAATACAATCTTCATCTTATTGCATTCCTACTCATAATTTTCACTAACTCCCAATTACCTGCAGAGTTGAACTGGTATTCCCAATTTGTATCCGGCCTCTTTAATTAATTCATGGTATGGGAAATGCCAGGGGGCCTACTAGGCAGTTGGGCCCTTCCTTCTGAGACATCACCTATTTTGCCGCTGCAAGGTATGACGCCCATATCTCCTGTCCCTGAAACCCCCCAGGAAGCTCTTGGTCTACAATACCTAGTCCCCTGCATGCCTATACCTTTTAATTAGTTCAGCCAACAGCTTTTGGCCACCAGTTGTTGCTGGGGTGTAGTGTGTTGCCGTTATTTACGGCCTCAGTTGCTATTTACCTTTTCAGTTAGTATTCCACTGAGAGCTTCTGGAGCTACCTCGTACCAGGTCTTCTACACTTCAACAAATAAGTAGTATTTTCCCTTTTCGCGGGCCTGTTCCCGGAGCCTGGCTCGAATTGAATAGGCCAGAACTTAGTAGTCGCAGGATCTGACCCACATGGCAGAAATGCGCAATCACAGGACGGGTGAGGGAGCCGGGAGTAAAAGCGAGAATCCTATTAGATCCTTCGCTGGTCGGCCGGCTTCTCTACCCCAAGCTCCGCGCACGCGGTGCCCTGCCAGGACTACTTTTGGCCTTCGGCAGCCGCCGTCCGCAACGCCCAGTTGAGCCTAAAGGCCTCCTGAGGATATCGGCTCTGGCTGCGCCGCGCTACCCTGACGTGGGCTCCCGGAGCAGGTGGGTCTTCCCCACCTCTCTGGGGGGGTGGGGAGCTCGCCCCCAGCGGAGAGCCCGGCCCACGCCTCTCAGGGCCCCACCACGCCCGCCCTCGGGCTGGACCCGGCTCCGCTCTCCCGGCCGCGCGGGGGTGCGGCGGCCCGACCAGGGTCTCCCTTGAGCGCTTCCCTAGCGCCTTCCCGTACGCTCCGGGCCCGAGCCTGGCCAGGTCTGGCGGAAAGGTGTGCTACCCCAAAGGGCCGGGGCTGCCGAGGGTCGCTGCCGCAGTCCGTCACTGCAGGAGTCTGTTCGGCTCTTGGTTGAATGTAGATTAAAAGCCCATCTTCCCAGTTTCTAGACCGTCGGGGATTTAACACCTCATGTGGAATTGAGTTTAGTTTGAACTAGTATAATGGTTAAAAGCACTGGGCTATGGGGGCTGATTGGGGTTCACATCTCAGCCCAGCCACTTTTCTTCCCCGTAAAATGGGGATAATAACAGTACTTGCCACATAGAACCATTGTGAGAATTGAGATTGCACGTTAAATGAGCAGTGCTAAACACAGCTCCTAATTTCATTAAGGGCTTTCCCCAGAAACGTGAAAATGGCTTTGACCAGCAGGCGGCAGTGGTGACTATCTAATAAGTTGTGCAGCAAGTCCGTACGTAATTGATGTTGCCTCAAATGTTTAGAGGCCCCCTGAGAATCTTGGCTGAATTGGCAGCCTTAAACTTTCTTCAGGCTGGAAAGTACATTAGCGATTGAGTAATACTACCTGCTATTTTCTAGGTTGAGACAAACCTGACGGTGGCTTCCTTAAGCAGGTCACAGCAGGTCCCAAGTCTCCTCCCTCAAGTTCAGTGTTACGTTAAAAACAAACAGACAAAACACTTTCCTGCCACTTTGCTAGCCTGTTGGGATGGCACCTTGAATATGCGTTAGAACTGGATTGGAAACCACAGAATTAAAATGGATGTCTACCTTCATTCAACAAATAAGGTACCAAGGAGAAAAAGATTGAGTCTGATTTTCACTGGGTGGCTCACCTCTGTGAGGGGGTGAGAAGCTGAGCCCAGAAAGATGTGATAAGGAGCCAGTTATGCAGAGAATGAAAGGAAGGACGTTCAAAGTATAGGAAACAATTTACAAAAGCTCTGAGGTAGTAAAAAGCCAGGAAACGAGAAAAGGCTAATGTGGCTGTAGCACAATGAATAAGAGGGGAAAGCAGCAAGAGTTGAGGTTGAAGTCGTAGGCTGGAGCCTTTGAGCAGGGTCACTAGCAATTTTATTCTGAGTGCAATAGAAGTCATTGGAAGATTTTAAGCATGGAATGCCAAAATCCTATTTTTGATTTTAAAAGTTCACTTTTGCTTCTGTGTAGAGAGTTAATTGGGTTATGGCAGGGTAAAGATGACCGGTTGGAAGATTATTGCAGTAATCCAGGTGAGAGATGATGGTATCTTCAAATAGTGTGGTGGTGGTGGAGACGGAGAAAAGTAAACAGATTGAGATAATTTTGGAGGTGAAATCAGAAAGACTTAATGATGAATTAGAAGGGAATAAGGGAGAAAGAGGAATCAAGGGTGATTTTCAGGTTTTCTGGTTGAGCAATTGGATGGATAGTGGTACCATTTACTGAGATGAAGAAAACTGGAGGAAGAACAGATTTGGGGGGAGGAGATGGTGGAATAGAGAATTCTGTTTTTAGACAGACTAACTTAGGTATCTTTGCTATATCCAAATGGAAATATTTGATTAGCAAGTTATACATAAGAACTTGGAGCTCAGAGGAGAAATTTGTGTTGGTGGTCTGAATTTGGGGGTCATCAGCATATGGATGATATGTAAAGCCAAAGGAATAGATGAGGTCACTGAGATATTACCTGATCTGATGATTATCATCACCATTGGGCCTGTGGCAACCACTGTGTTTGGATATCTTTTTGGGATTAAAGCATTAGATTTCAGTAATTAGGTAAGTGAACTGTCCTTGCAGATCTACAGATGGTTATGTGTATGTTACCTCCTATTGCCCTGAAATCCCCATTCCATGGTGGAAGGAGAGAAACAGGATCTCATGTCTGTAGGTACTCCCTGGATCTGACTCTTTAAGTTTGCAGGTTTCTGTTTTCAGTAGGCTGAGGGCCATGTCAGTTTTCTGCCACACACAGGACTGGCCATGAAGCTAAAAGAACTTGAACGGCCAGCTGTCCAAGCGTGGAGCCCAGCCAGCCAGTACCCTGTGTATCTGGCCACAGGTATGATGATATTGTGGACTATGATCTGCTGAAAGTACATAGGTCAAAGGGAGACTTAATATCCAGAATTCTTTATTGAGCTTCAGAGAAAGCTTTAGAGTCATGGAAAGGTGGGGTTTGCTCACAGCATAAGCAAGGGGACATTAGGTGTTTGGAGTACCTGGGGGCAGCCTTGAACTGTGGCTCAAGCCTGGGCACCTCCTGTTTTCTTGCTCTCTTTGGAGTTACCATTTGAAAAAGGGTATACCCAGTCCTCTCCTGTTCCTCTGCCTCTCCACTCCCTAACCATTTATACCCCAAATCCATGCATGTATTTTTGCTTATATGCTGCCTCTTCCTAACTTTTCTTGTGCCTAGGAACATCTGCCCAGCAGCTAGATGCCTCCTTTAGCACAAATGGCACATTGGAAATCTTTGAGATTGATTTCAGGGACCCCTCTTTGGACTTGAAACACAAGGGAGTCCTTTCTGCCTCAAGCAGGTACTATGTCTGAATTGTTGAGTGTGCGGAACAGATCCTGATGTAGACCCTGTTGAGGAATCCTGGTAGTAATGTGTGCTTCTCAGGGCTCATGAGGAGATACGTGAGGGGAGAAGTTAACCCTGGGTTTATTTTGCAAAAGGATTTTTTAAAACACCCACTCGTACCTTTTTGGTCAGCAGCAGCAGTGGTGTCAGGCAGAATCGTGATAGAGACGCCTCACACAACGCTGGACCCATAAGTACCTGATCTCTCTCTGAGCCCAGAGATGTTGGCTCCTTCCTCCCTTGGCTCTTGTGAAGATAACCTTACACAATATCTCGTTTTCTGCCAGTGGGAGGAGAATGAGTGAGCCTCTCCTCATCGTGGTTAGGCACTGGTTGGGTACTCGTGGATTTCATGGCTCTGGCAGGCTTACAGGGCTGAGTACTGGCATTCACAGAGCATATGTATACAGGCCAGACACTATGCTAGGAGCTCTGTATATCTTATTCATCCCTCAAAATGGGCCTGAGCCATAAATACCATTAGTCCCATTTTACGTAGGAGGAAACTGAAACTCTGGGAAGCTAGGATTTATATCTAGGCCTAACTCCAAAATCTACCTTTTTTCTGTTATTCAACTTTTCTTTTATAAAGGTTTTATAAAGATGTGGCTTACAGCAGTAGTCTCCAAATTTTCATACCACCAGGGAAAATGTGAATATTCACTATACTCAAGTTATATAGGCAATATAAGTAGTATACATACATTACTCTACTATTATAAAAATGCAGTTCCTATAATTTCATAGATTAAAAATATAAGTCTTTTTTCCTACAGCTCCGAAAATTATCTTGCCCGTCCCACTTTAGAGATTACTGGTCCAAATGCAACTTTGCGTTCTTTTGTGCATTTTTTGGTTCATCTGAGAGATTAAGTTATTTAGACAGAAGTACCCTTTTTTTTTATTTTCATGGCTTAACCTAATAAAGGTTAGTTATTATTCTCCCTTTCTGGAACCCCTATATCACTTTCTGATAGTATCCCTTATTTTATAGTTTTTTACATCTCTTTGTATTTGCAGTACCTTTCCCTTTGAAGAGCAGCCACTGGAGGGTTTACCAATAATCATGAAATATTCTTAGCATCTAAGCAAGCATTTCAGAAAGGGCCCTGAAAGGGGTGAGCTAATGCAATAATGTTCATACTCCTGGAGTTAAGAAGAGGGGCAGGAGGCAAGGGCTCTTATCCTCAGCCAGTGAAGCAGCAGCTTCAGCACAGTAATGGCTCCTTAGGGCAAAGAATTCCTAATAAAGAGGCAATATAATTGCTTAAGAAATCTTGCCCCCTGCTTGTGTGTGCACATGCGCGCACTCCGTCTCTCTGTCAAATAAATAAATAAAACTTAAAAAAATTTTTTTTTTTAAAAGGGGGCACCTGGGTGGCTCAGTCAGTTAAGAATCTGCCTTCAGCTCAGGTCATGATCCCAGGGTCCTGGAATTGAGGCCCGCATTGGGCTCCCTGCTCAGTGGGGAGCCTGCTTTTCCCTCTCCCTCTGCCTGCAGCTCCCCCTGCTTGTGCTCTCTCTCTCTCTGTCAAATAAAATCTTTAAAAAACCTTTTTTTTAGAAAAAAGAAATCTGAAATTATATCCTAAGATCCCTCTGGGCAGAGATTTTTGTTTGTTTTACTCACTGCTGTATCTCTAGCTCCTAAAACAGTACCTGGTGTTAGATGCTTAATAAATACCTGTTAAATGAACAAGTGACATTAGAAATGTCTGGATTACCAAAGTGAGCATTCCTAGCCACCATTTCAGTTAGTTATAGTTATTCTTCAGTTAATCTTAGTGCCTTGAGAACTTTTCAACGGTGATGATGGGTTGGTTTTGCAGCCAACTAGGTTGAAGGGACCCTTTTTGAAATGTTGGTACTCAATTCAGGAATCATAAACTTCATTTCATACTCTGTTCCATCCTGCAAGGATTGGGGGCTATAACCAAAATAAATAGTACAGTTAACACTATTGATAGTATTTCATCTCTACTTTCTTTTCCACCTCCATAATTGTATCCAAAGATTGATTTGCATTTCCAAAGACCTAAGGAATTACCTTTGGCCTAGATCTATTAGAGACTTGTTGAAGAAATTATCTTAGACACCCCAGGGTCTAAGACACCCTCTTGTGGCTCAGCCTGGGTTCAGTCACTTACTCAGAAATCCACATCTGAAACTATTGACCAAGATGATCAGGGTAGGTAGAGGGCTGCCCATTCTTTGCTTTATGCTTTCCTCTTTTTTTTCTGTGTCATCTTTGGCATGGTTTAGTTGAAAGCATAGTTGTATTGAGTGGCATCCTTGGCTAATGGTACATGACTGTGCAAATGGTATTCTGACAGTGGTCTTCAGTTCCCTCACTTATGTGTAAAGAGGAGGTTGTGCAAGATGACTGCTAAGAACCTCCTGGGCTCTAGATTCAGGTCTTATGTTCAGTCTTTCCTTCCCTTTCTTTTTTATAGCATAATCTCTTTCCTTTTTCCTTTTTTTCCCCTGAAGATTTATGTGTTTATTTATCAGAGAGAGAGAGAGCGAGAGAGAGAGAGGAGATGGGCAGAGGGAGAGGGAGAAGGAGAAAAGCAGACTCCCCGCTGAGTGCAGAGCCTGATTCAGGGCTCAATCTCAGGACCCTGAGATCATGACCCGAGCCAAATCAAGAGTTGAACGCTTAAACAACTGAACCACTCATGTGCCCCTCCTTTTTTTTTTTTTTTAAGAAACCTTCCTTGTGTTTCTTCATTATTACCTAAACATATACTTTTCAAAATCTTTCCCCTTCCTTTGCCTGCCCTTTTCACCAGACCCATGGCTTAACTACATTTGAATCCTGAAGACCCCCTTATCCTCAATCCATGATGCATCAGAGAAATGTTATGTATTTAGAAATACCTGACCCAAAGAGAACTGCTCTGAAACACTGGTATAGGTGTGGACAAGGGACTGCCTCAGGCTGTAAGGAGATAAATGCACTGGATGCATCAGAATCAATACGGATTAGCATGCCCACTGAAGCTGGCGATATTTGGTTTGTTAGATGAATCTCATGCAAGAAGAAATGTTTTGGGGAGAATAATATATGATGTGTGTTGACTTGTGAACTGAGGTCTTAGCTGCTGTGGCTGAATGAGATCAGAGGCCAGTGTGTGACATACTGTACTCCACCCTGTGTCTACGCTGATCTCCTTGTGGTCTCTGTAACCTCTGTATGACCCATCCTCTAGTAACATGAAGAATGTAGGTGATCTACCTTTCATTACCTTTATAGCAGTTCTAGCTACTTGGGGAGCACTGTGATCTTTGGGTGCCTGTGTATGGAACAGCAAGCAGAAAAAGATCACTTTGTGTACTCGGTTTTCCCATTTCCAAGGCTTGCCTTCTTTAGAGATGACATCAAGATGACAGAGTAGAGGGGCGCATGGGTGGCTCAGTTGGTTAAGCGGCTGCCTTAGGCTCAGGTCATGATCTCTGGGTCCTGGGTTGGAGCTCCACAGAGTCTGTTTCTCCCTCTCCCTCTGCCCCTCCCCATGGCTTGTGCTCTCTCGCTGTCTCTCTCAAATAAAAATCTTAAAAAACAAAAATCACAGAGTGGAGAGAACGTAGGCTTTGTTGTTGGATAGACCTGTGTTCAGAACCCAGCACTGCCATCTAATGTCCTCTTGGGCACGTTATTTAACTTCTCTCGCCCTGTTTTTCTCTGCTGGAAATTCGGGATATATAGGCATAAGTAGCCTGGTGCCTACTAGGGATAAGGAAAGGACTTCCTCAAACAGCCACTGCTCCACTTCACTGTCTTCATTCTCTAGCTTGGAGCACTGCCTTCACTGCTCTGACTTTTAGGAAACTTGGATTCCCTCAGCTATTTTGGCTTGTTTTCACTTTAGTTCACTAGGATGAGGTTGGGATTTTTAAAAAGGAACCTAATTAAGCAAATAAAAGCAAAATCCTAAACAAAAAAGTCCCTAAATTACAGAGGCAAGAATTGACACAGCCCACGTTCCTAATTATAAAGTAGCTAAAGCTTGGCCTCAGCTGAGCTTCGCTGGAATGACCCTCTGATCTCTCAGGCCTCAGTTTATTCTCTTTAACCTTGTCTTTTTCTCTCTGCCAGAAGCATAGCCATGAGCTGGTCATTAGGGCTGGTTCTGTCTTTGTGAATTTCAACGTCTTCCTTTATTGGTCTAGGCTGGTATCAGTCTGATGGATTTAGTACAGGGGTTCTCAACCCTGGCTGCTTGTTAGAATCACCTGGGGGCTCATGTTAAAAATGTGGATTCTGAGGGCCTCTCTCTGGAAATTCTGCTTTGCAAGGTCTAGGTAGGTATGTAAAGAATCTGTATTTTCTTTAGGTGCCACCCATCATTCTTGATGCTCTATGGTGCCCATTGTTGCCATCTCCATGGGAACCTCTTCAGCAGAGAATTCCACCGGTATTCTGATGTTTTGAAAGTTCCCATTTTTCTTTTTTTTAAAGATTTTTTTTTGTAAAGATTTTATTTATTTATTTGACAGAGAGAGAGACAGCGAGAGCAGGAACACAAGCAGGGGGAGTGGGAGAGGGAGAAGCAGGCTCCCTGCAGAGCAGGGAGCCCGATGCGGGACTCGATCCCAGGACCCTGGGATCATGACCTGAGCCCAAGGCAGACGCTTAATGACTGAGCCACCCAGGCGCCCAAAAGTTCCCATTTTTCTATACAAACTCTTTCTATACCATATCCTTAAATCTCTTGTCTTCTGATGTCTGAAAGTTGTATTTTCAAGCCAAAGGTCATCTTGTTTCTTAAGTTTTTATTTTTAAACTATTCAAACATAGAGAAGTTGTAGAATAGTACAATGAATAATCATATACCTTTCCTTAGATTTATCAGTTGTTAATTTTTTGTTGCATTTGCCTACATGCTTATGTGCTCTTTCTCTGCATGCATATGCGTGCGTGTACACACACACACACACACACACACACACACACGTGTTATTCCCTGTCCATTTGCAGAGCAGAGATGATTGACACTCCTTGAGCCCACTGAATGATCATGTCCGGGTCCTTGCTTAACTTATCCCAGCTGGTCCCACTCTCCCAGGTGTTCTCTATCCTGTCCTATTTGGGCTCCTGCTTCACCCTCACTAGTGAAATGGTTAACCATAGGACTGTACTTTCTACATGCTTAGAGAAAGTCATTTTGTCACGCTCTGTGTTCTGCATTTTGGTCACTCTAAACTAACAGGGCTTTATTTTCCAACTCTTCAGTGATTCCCCCTTGAGGTTTCAGGTACCTTTGTCTTCGCTCTGGATTTCATAAGCTGTGACCATACTGAGGTTACTGGAACATCTTCTACCATCCCTGTGTGAGTTTTTCTCTGGCCATACTCTCCTCTGGTTCCTGTGAGACCGATTCCGGGCTTCTTTAGCTACTCTGTTGACTTGCCCTCTGCCCACACTGACATCTAGCCCCAGGGGGACATGGCAGCCTCTTGAGCCAGTGTAACGTACATTTTTCTGCCTTGTTAAGATCATTGCAACCTTAGAACACATAGCCGTTTGGGCAGTAACTTTGGAGCCACTGTTTGTGTCAGCTCTGCTGTTTTATCTCAGTTGCTGACCTGGTCTCAACCAGTGCTCAGCTCTTTACTTCTAACAGGTGGTTGCTGCGCTAATGACTGGCCAGACAGGTTCCTGCCCAGTCACCCCACTCAGTTTCCTGGCCAACTTTCCAGGGTGTGGGAGCATTTCATTTCAGTTAGGGATCTTATGACATCATTTGATGTGAAATCTGGCTTCTCTGAAGGGCTGTGGAAATACCCTTGGCAAGCAGCTGTGAAATGAAGGACAGACTACCTGTGAGGCTTTGGGGATCTCACATGCCTTCCCTAGGGGCTTTGCAGAGGACCCATCTTTGTCTGCAGGGGCGCAGGGTCCATCTTTTTTTTTTTGTGCAAGACACTGGCAGTGTCTTGTTAGAAGCATCATTAGAAAGCCTGATGATGAAACACTGGTATAGGTGCTTCATATAGCACCTATATGGGAAAGGTATGTTTATTCTTTACGTTTCTATGTTTGTAGGGCTGGCCCACTGTAGCCATATAGCAGATCCAGTGGGCTAGTCACATGGAAGAGATACAGGGTGGAGAGGTCTTTGGGTCTTTTCTTACTTCCAGCTTGAGAGGGAAGAGGGGACAGCAATTGTTGGTGTAGGGAACCTGCTTCTAGTCAGGTACAAAAGAATTTGGATCTTCCTCCAAACAGAATACACTATTTTATGATGGTTAAGAGCTCAGGCTCTAAAATAAGATGGGCCAGGGCACCTGGGTGGTTCAGTGGGTTGAGCGTCTGACTCTTGATTTTGGCTCAGGTCATGATCTCAGGGTCATGAGATCAAGCCCCATGTTGGGCTCCATGCTGAGTGTGGAGTCTGCTTAAGATTCTCCCTCTGTCCCTCCCCCACTCTCACTCTCTCTCTACAAAAATAAATAAAAATAAATAAGATGGGCCAGACTTTAAACCTTGATTCTTCCACTTCCTAGCTGTCAAATAGAGATAAAATTACTGTGTATACAGAAGTTTCATAAATTCTCTGTGCTTCAGTTTCCTCAATTGAAAATGGAGTTAATACTTCATAGGGTTATTTAATATTAAATCAGCTAATCCATGTGAAGCACTTAAAACCGTGCCTGGCACATAGGAAGTATCCAATAAGCGTTAGTTGCTCTTATTTGAGTTGTGAAGATTAAGTAAACTAATCTATTTGAAATATGTATCCCTGGGCCTATATAACCCAAATAATGTTAATTAAAACAAACAAACAAATATGCCACACAACTCTGAGGCAGTGGTCTCCTGCCTTCCTAGTGTAACAAAGATGGAATTTTTTTTCAGAGAAAGGGCAGGACCAAGCAAGGAAACCTGTGTTGTGTGTCTGGTAAGTGAGGGAGACAGGCAGATTCCATCTCGGTGGGGATACCTGCATAATGGCAGAGGCTGACAGAAATGCCTCCTCTCTGCCTACTGACATGATTCTGCATTGGTGCTGATGCCAGTTCCTCCTCTTTGTAGGTTTTACAAGCTGATCTGGGGGAGCTTTGGTGATGGGCTTCCGGAAGGCTCCGGGGTCGTTGCAGGCGGCGGGGACAATGGCCTGCTTACTCTATACAATGTGACCCACATCCTGTCTTCTGGGAAGGACCCTGTGATTGCCCAGAGACAGAAGCACACAGGGGCTGTCAGAGCCCTTGACTTTAATCCTTTCCAGGTACTGCATTTCATTTGGTCAAACATGCCCAAGCCATGGAGCCACAGATCTGAGTGGAAGCATTCACTTGTGACTGCCAGTCTATAATTCTGAGCCCTTCCCACACTGTTGTGGGGGAGGTTTTGGAAGCCCCAAATGTGGGTCTCTTTCCCCCTTTGCTGTTCTTAACTTTTCCTGGGATGGTGTGTCTCCAAAGGCCTTTTCTTCATACAGGGCAACCTCCTGGCCTCGGGGGCCAGTGATTCTGAAATCTTTATTTGGGATTTGAATAACTTAAATGTGCCAATGACCCCAGGATCTAAGTCACAGGTAAGGAGTCTCCCGGGGCTGCTGATTAGAGTGTGCAGCTGATTTGCCCAGGAAAGTCTTGAATTCTGGAGGCACCCAGAGCACAGGAGAGTTTGGACTTTACCACTGGAGGGAAATAAAGCGCCACAGACTAACATGTTACCAGCCAACCCATAACAGGGATGGAGGGGAGGGTGTGTGTGTGGTGGTTTGTGGTCATTAACTGTCCTAGGGTTTCTGGAAGGAAGATGAAGAAAGGCAGTAAAAGACACTGAGAAAAGGAGTGAGTACTATTTATCATAGTAGAGCTTAGGCAGAGTAGAGTAGGGCCCTGGGTTCAGTGGAGTGGGGCCAAGAGGGGACGCGCAGATATATCCTTGTCCTTTTTGTGGGGTGGGTCAGCTTTGCCTCTCTACCGGGCTCCCCCGTGCAGTGGGGATCTTGTGTATGTCTGTCTCTGAGTGCACCTACCTGTCAGTCTATAACTGGGCCCATCTTCTTTGCTTCCTGGCTCTTCTCTGTCTTGTGCTTACAGTATCGTGAGGTAAGTTAAGTATAAATTTGATAGCACCTTGTGCCCTAAAGATAGCAATGGCTTTTCTTTCTGCCTCATTCTTTCTGGGGGTCTTACATGTCTTTGTTTCCCTCCCTTCCTCCTCCTCTACTTCTCTCTTTGTCATAGATAAGAGGGCTGTTTTAAATCTTGACGTCATCCTCTCAGGAGCACCTTGGGATAGGGGTAAATTCCAAGTGTGCCTGCCATTCTCTCAGTTTCTACACCAGCCCCCTAAAGGACCCTCTCTGGAAAATTCAACTCCCAGCTCCCTGACACTGTTTGGGTTTGGGAAGCCCCATGTCTACTCTTGGGCTTTCTGTGGGGGGTTGGGAGCAGTGGAACAGCAAATGGCTCTTGGTCCAGGAGATGAAAAGTTGTCCTCTATCCTCTATCCCTTCCCCCGCTTCCTGCCTCAGCAGCCTCCAGAAGACATCAAGGCACTCGCTTGGAACCGGCAAGTTCAACACATTCTGTCTTCTGCTCACCCCAGTGGCAAGGCAGTTGTGTGGGATCTCAGGAAGAATGAACCTATCATCAAAGTCAGCGATCATAGCAACAGGGTGAGTTGTGGAGGCAGAATACAGTCTCGGGCTCTGGCTTCTTTCTCATGCCTAGACTTTGGAGCTGCTCTTCCCCAGGCCAGGTGTCTGCTTTCAGCTGTTGCACTTGCAGGTTCAGCCTCTTAGCAGGTTTCCTGTTGAGAGTGAATGCTTAGGGAAGCTAAACAGAGCTGATCCAGAGGCTACTAGTGTTCCTTACTTACTCATGGTCATCACTTATCACAGAAGAGACACAAAACCTGCCCTCAGAGGTCCTATTCCAACTGGGCAGAAAAGTTTCATAACCAGAAGTGTCAGGTTACATCACCCGTTGGGGTCTGCTTTGTCCACAGATGCACAGCTCAGGCCTGGCCTGGCACCCAGACATAGCCACCCAGTTGGTGCTGTGTTCAGAAGATGATCATTTTCCAGTGATTCAGCTGTGGGATTTGCGCTTTGCCTCCTCGCCCCTGAAGGTGCTGGAGAGCCACAGCAGGTAATGTCTCAAACTGTGTCTACATCCTTGGTGGATGGTGGGGCATAACTGACCTGGGTAGGAGGCAGTGAATGCCTCACTTTAGTTACCAAACATCTTCCATGTCTTCAAAGTCGTTCCCAGTGAACACACAGTCTCCTGGTCCTAGCTCTAATCCCAACAAAGAGGAGTTCCTTGAGATCCTGAGGTTATGGAAAAGGACCTGAGATTCCATTTAACTTCCAGAAACGGGAGTGTAGATGGGGTCATGAGAAATATTTGGAGCCAATGTTTAGTCCCCGTGGGAGAGTCCCCAGGCTCTGATTTAAGGATAATGTTCATTTCTTTAGGTGGTGAGGTTGCTTCCTCCAAGACTGCTCCTTAATAAGAGAACCTAGGCTCCTGTTTATCCTTTGAACAGGCCTGCCCCTGAAGCTGTAGCTCTTAGGCTACATAGCAGAAAAAGCAGCCCATAGCAGAAAAAGCAGCCCACACTGTTCTTTCTTACTAAAGGGCTGTATTGCCTCTATACCTTCTTGGGGACTTTGAAGAGTTGGG